ATAAATCCTTTCTAAAGCTAAGAAGTGACGCCGTGTCAATCTAGGCGTGGGTCGATGATTGTCGCTGAAAACGCCTGGAGGGTATGCAAAGCTTTCCTGAATCGGGCCCCCGCGGCCCCCTGTCCCTCCGAGCGCTTGGACAAGGCGAGAGCTTTGGAGAGACATTAATATCTTTCGTTTTCGCTTTAGTTTTTAGCGCTGTTTACTTCTGGTTGATATTCTAGCATTGGCGGAAGTAATGAATTCGTCTATAGACGGTTCAGTTTAAGCTGACTCGGGCCCTGTCGGCTGTGTAGCTACAAACAGGGAAATGTCGGCTGTAGCTACAATCGTGAAACTACAAACAGGGACGTGTAAAAATATGTAAAATAAATTCCTTATGATCCGGCTTGACGAAAGAACCTCTGAACCTCCAGTTTTTTCGTATAGGTCCGGTTTGTATCCGAAGATACGTTTACCCTCTCGGTCTGGCCCGCCTAGTAGGTAGGCAGCCCATCGTACTCCCGGCGCGGCCGAGACACCGTGACTCGGTATAACACCCCCGTTCATTTTTGTTTCAGGAGAGCGAGATACTGGTGCGGATTACTGTTTAACTGAAGCCTGCGTGAAAACTGGTAAGAGTCAAACAAAGGTGTCTGGAATGCGCGATAGTTGATTGATTCCTAACCATCCCAAACTTTGATGCAGCGGCGCGCATTTTGGATTCGCTCGATACGACAGCGCAGCCATGCGAGGATTTCTACCAGTTTGCCTGCGGAGGGTGGCTCCGGAGAAATCCCATACCGGAATCACAAACGTCATGGGACCAGTTTCGGTCACTACGGGAGCACCTTTTACGAGACCTTAGAGGTTTGTGAAATTGGTTTGAGAGGGCATGGATGGAATTTGTAAAGTGGAATTAGATCTGATCAACCAGGCAAATTTACTGTTACTAGATATTCTTGAAGAAGGGAGCAGTGCAGATGAACCCGGGCCAGTCAAACAGGCCAAGGCTCTTTACAGAACCTGCCTCGACACTGCAGAACTAGAGAGGCTTGGCCTCGAACCCCTCATAGCCACTCTGGAGAAGCTCAACCTGAGCACCGCGCTGCCCGGGCTGCCCAGCTCAGTCGACGAGGATGACGATGGGTCCTCGGGCGAGTTCGACTGGCTGTACACCGCGGCCCGCGCCCAGCGCATGCTGGGCCACTCCGTGCTGCTCGGGTTCTGGGTCAACGAGGACGTGCGCAACACGAGCCGGTGAGATATTCCTCGTGCTTACAGTCAGAGTGCCATCAGACCCCAACGGAGTGGAAACGAAGCGATGAGAGCAAAGCCCGTATTCCTGGTCCTTTTCCCTCACCGACCAAACTCCCGTGGAATACCAAATAACGTCACGCCTGAGAACGAGGCAGACAGAGCCGACAGACGGCTTGACAGATTCGCTGACAGATTGCGAGCTCACGACCTGAGGTGCCCGCCCAAGTGTGGGACGGGTAGGACCCCCACAGCGGGGCTGGCGGAGCCTGGCCCTGCTCCCGTTTTGGAAAGCAGACCGCGCCGCGCGGCGTTGTGTGCGTCTGTGAATAAATCTCAAAGGGAATGCCAGAGGCCAGTCGCCGGGGGGGGGGGGGTCTCACCCACCCTCGGGGCCCGGGTTAGGGATGCTGTATGGCTAGCGCCAAAGCCTACGTTATTATTCTTCTCTCCCTACAGGAACCTGATGGTGGTGGATCAGATTTCCCCGGGCTTCAGCGAGCGCTACCTCCTCGACCCGGAGCGCTTCGGCGGGGAGCTCGCCGAGTACCGGCGGTACATCACCGACGTGGTCCGGGTGTTCCTGCACCGCGCAAACCAGACCGCACCCAACGGGACCGCGGAGAACTTCGCCGCGGACGTACTGCGCTTCAGCACGCAGTTAGCCGGGGTGCGCAAACAGCCTGCTGTCTTGTGTGCCTGGGGGTGGACATGAAAACTAACTTCACACACTTGTGTTTATTCCCACTACTTTCCAGATCATGACAACAGCGGAGCAGCGACGAGATGTTAAGTCTCAATTCCATGAGATGACACTGGACCAGCTGCAGGAGCACACAGATGCAGATGGCCTGGGAAGTGGAGCCAAGGTGAGCTCCCTCCGTCATTTTCAATGACCTCTCTAATTGTGATCAATAAAGATTAATAATGATTATTTTTTTTCTAGCTCAACT